TAATGTAACAAAAGGATCGTCTTACCTTAACTAGAAGCAGGGTTGTTGGTTGGGTTTAGTTTCTCCGGTCTCAATACAGAACATATTTTTTTTCAATAGCCGTAATTCTACAAAAGGGATAAGTAAAACACTAAGCGAATCTAATTATTTAAGGGAGGAAATCGTCAATGTTTTTAGTAAATTAACATTCGTTGTTTTTAATGATTAATTTAACGCAATTAAACAGATACGTATGAACTACAGAAATTTGATAAATGAATTGGATCTTATTTATCACCTCTTCAGAGAAAGACCATCATCAGCAATCAAATACAACTGGACCCAAAATTTCATTGCGTGATCTTGGAGGAGCCACAGACAAACAAAGCCAAAAAAATAAACAGGGGATAGCGGCCAGAGGCTTACGTCGATGATGTATACAACTGACGACCCTTTTTTTGAATACGAATTGAGTAAAAACATCAACTTGTGTAAAACTTGTTATTCCTTTGAATTACCAAATAAAGCATTCTGATCGGTTAAATTCAAATATATATTTTGGTTTTAATTAAAGATATATATATGCAGTATAAGTGTTTTATTTTAAAAAATAAATAAATGTTGTATCTCATCAAGTTATATAAGTTATATACTTTCTGCACATAAGACAGTCCCACTCCATCACTTCAAAAAGTTATGAAATATTATTTGGTAAAAAATTATTTTCTCTCCGAGTCGGATATTAAACCGCCTCTTATTGAAATATTCATGCTCACAGCAAACAAAGGTCCAATCTCATGAATGAGCCGAAAAGCAGGATGGGCTACTACATGTTTATTTTTACTACAAACACGTGGGTTAGGGAAATTTAGAAATAAGACTCCAGTTTTTAAATTCGATATTCATATTTGCAATGTAACTGGTTTCATTATTTGTTGCTCAGTTATTTGTTACTAAAAATGTAAAGTTCATGCATTTATAAAAAGAAAAAAAAGGCTTATCTTGCACTTTTTTTTAAAGAATTCCCCTCTGTATTAATTCTCATGAGCATTGATCGTAGAACGTGTATTGAGTAGCATACTCGTCTCTGTGTTTCGAAGTTGTATACTTTATAGATATTGTCAATACGTGAGCACACCTCAGAGTTGGTTGCTTTTTGTGCCGTGGAATAGTCACGTGAAATATACTTTTCACTGACAGTGCAGCACGCGGAAAGCTGTAAACAAACAGACTTGTACAAAGGAGCGGGGAAAATTAAAATTTCTCGCGTTACGACATATAGCGAGAAATAATTGTCCTAACGACATGTAAACAAATTGTTTGAGTCGAAACGAAAGTCCTATACCGGGTAATTGAATACTGAGTAATGGCCAGTGGAAATGGGTTTTAGGTAATGACGTGTTCAAATGGGTTAAAGAGATTTCTAGTAATCATTCTCTAGCGCACACTCTACCCGAGCAAGTCAAAATTTTGTACATTATAATAAATGGCAATTTCTTATATTAGGTTTGTGAGAATGAGTCCGCCATTCATTTTGTTTACCTCGCAATATTGCTGCGGACTTACAGGTTTCCATAGTTTTTTCAACATAAATCAGTGTTGTTTTTTTATCTATGGTTTTTCCTGGGCGGCGAGGGAAGCACAGTTCAGTAGTTGTGTTTACTTTAATTTTGTATAAATTGATATCTGTTTTATACTGCTTTGCTCATATTGTGTGGAAACAATAAAGCACAGTGCGCTGAAATGTATACAAATGTATTGTTGTTTATGTCAGTGAAGTAAAGTGTGGACGCCTAATTTTTATCATTGTTAATCATTTGTATGTATATGTGAGCATGGGATTAGTAGATAATAATGTACATAATGCATTAAGCGTGTAAAATGCTTGGAAAAATGCATCACGTCTTCCCGAGAGCGATTCTAACAAGAATAGATATGGGTTACCCCATATCCAAAGATATTCGACTTTTAGATTTAATATGCTTATCAGTGTTTATAATGACGTTAATAAAAAAAACTGCAATGTCTAGGGCCTAGTTATGGAACTGGTGTAAATTTCGTGAGCATGGTGAGGTCACCCAGTCTCCTAACAAACGGTACACATAGGCCTACATGAACCTGTGTCCGCAAGACCAACATTAGCCTTGATCTACACACGTGCGATGGAGCTGTTAAACGCATCCAGCGAGCTCGGAGGAACACGTTTTGTTTTGCCGAGAAGTTACGATGGCAGACAAAACTTTTCTTTTCTTAATTAGATCATATGAATACGAATTCTGATTAATAAAAATTATACAATCCCTGTTGAACTATATATAGTTTGTTCTAACATTTGCATCTGCAACAACTTGTGTTTAAAATGGCCGTGTTAGGAAAATCAAGACCGGATCGGAAAATTCTAAACTGAAAACCTTTTTTGTTTTGAAAATTACTGAAATATGCTAATGTATTCGTCGCAGATATTACTTACATTATTCAAGTTCTATATAAAATGGTAAGCCTATGCTGAACTCCAACACGAACCCGAATGTCCGACCCAGTTCTCGTTTTGCCACACATTTTATCCCCTACAGTTTACAAAGTGTACACACGTGAGCAGAATCCAGCCAGGGATTGAAAATTCCGTCATTTAATAATATACACACACAGAATGATTTATTTTTTCTTAAAAGGAAATTGTATGATAATTAACAGACTATAAACATGTACTTAATACAATTGTTGATATAGTATTATCAATTCATCGGTGAAAAAATATGAATCGAAGAATGACCTAAATATTCTCTATTATCAAACATGTAAAAAAAAAAAAAGGCTGAGGAGGGAGCGAGCGTAGGAATATTGATATTTTTCATTTGCATTTCGGGGGGAAAGTGATTTTCTAATAATATTTTGACGTTATTTTTGATTTCTTTAACGTATGAAATACACAACTTCACTCTTATCATGAACAATAATGTTGTATCTACTTAATCATGATGGAACTATTTTGGTCGGACCAATTTGTGTGAGCTGCCGCTGAAAACAATAATATATCTTGCAGAGATAGTATGCATTGATCGAATATATTAAAAAACTAGCCTTATCGAAAAACACATGTACATGTAGTACTTTATGATAGTAACCTGTAATCCAACTCATTGACAATAGTTTCTTCGACCTGATGATTCTCGCGATACTTTTCCCGCGCACATGCGCAGATCCAGCATAAACGTCAATCCTTCATAATTATGCATTAGAATATCATGTTCTTTCCTGGCCAGTACTTTGTTAATAACGAATAATATTTCGTCGAATTTGCAAGAATGCTTCAATTTTTATAGCTTATCATACTTCAGGAATTTTTGTTTGGTTTCAGCTGTGCAAAAATACTGTTCAACACGGCATATATATCTTTATCACATGGATAATATGTGATGTTAATAAGATATTTAGAAATTAAGACGGCAGATATGTAGAGAAAATATGTTTATTGGTGCTATATGACCGTTAAAACATTTCCGGAATAATAAGGCAGATAATAATAATATATAAAAGTATTTCTCGGAATTTTCATGTTTTTCAATTGCAGAGCGTTTAAGCATACCTTTTTTTTTATATTCACACGAAGCAGGAGCAATTTAAAATCTTACACATGCCAAGAAAAACGCTTTCTGTGACCTTTGAATTCAATTCGCCATTTTAATATACAGACGATGTACAATCAACTAACGAAAGTAATTTCCATTCATATATCGACTCGATAAACCCCAGTGAAATTGAAAGAAAAGATACCACAGAGTTTGATACATCTGCTTCATATCTTGATATTTAACTAGAAAGTGACATAAAAGTCAATCTAACAACAATAGGGTGTGCGTCGACTATCCGTCAATTTGGATAGAAAGTCCCCAGTCACATAGTGGACTTTTGCGAGAAGCACTGACTTTTACGGTTGACGGTTTACTTTGACATTTTAGCCTGTGTCATGTACAGAGGTACAGATTTGATAATAGTATGGTGTATGGGGCACTAGTATGTGATGGGCCGTATCTGATGGCAAGGGTTGTTGTCGGGTTCTTCATCGGCAACTTATATATCTTTTATTTCAGCCCGTAATTTTCGTTTAATTAAATGATAAGCTAAATTATTTTATTGCAAAATAGTTTCCGTATACTGTCCAAGTGTAAAAATAAGCCGCCAACGGTAAAAGTCGACACTCCTCGCAAAAGTCCATTGGTCCTATGATCATTCGGTTTTCAAACAGATATGGCCAACGGTCTCTTTATAACAAACTGTAATCATTGGAATTAATTCAGTTACAAAGGGCAGGATTGTTGGTTGGAATTTGCCTTCTATACGCCAGGTCAAAATACAAAATTGGAAAGTACGAACCTCCAAAACATCAGAAGTGGGATCAGGTCCACTGCCGACCGGTCATATTCTCAATGTACATGTGATCCTTGTCATGATGGGGAAATAACGGAAAAATCCGTTGTCAATTCTGTGTGTAAATAATGGACTAACAATTATTATGAAAAATTGTCAGTCAACATTTGACTCATTATTAAAATGTACTTGCTGACAAGGTCATTGTATCGATCATAGAGCTTATTAAATGATGACTTTAAAGGAGACTGCTGATATTCTTGTTTCATCAACTTGTTTGTCAATAATTAATCTAATATGGAGGAAAAATTCTTTTTACGAATCGTGGTCAGCCTAGGCCTTAATTTTAATTAATCTTAATTTGATCCTAATGTTATTTTGTAAAACACTGTACACGACAAGTTAATTATCATATCTTTTAAACTGAATTAAAAATGGTGGTTCTTCTTAATATAGAAACATAAAAGTATACACTCAATACAACATTCTTTTGATGATTAGAGAATGGTTACAAAGTGCGTCTGTATAAAATAAATGTATTTAGTGTAATGCAATTACGTGTACTTATGTAGGAATTCAAAATAAACAGTTAGTTTACATAGATATATTCTCCTAAAATATATATTACAGAGGTTAGTAACAAAATTCTGGGAAATTTGGGGAAGTGATATTCATTTTAAAAATTTCCGCATTTGAAAATGGACGAGCAAACTATTCGATGTTCTTATCCAGAGTGGTGCTCTAAATGCGGGGTATTGAATGTTACTGATATTGAAGGATTACAAATAAATTCCTCTAAGTGTCTGAAGTTCTACAAATTAGAATACCCCCTCGAAATCAATCACCCCCTTGGGACTCTGAAAGAGGGGAAAAGATGTTGCGAAGGAACATTGACGATTTACTATACCCCGAATTCATCAGGTATAGACAGATGATTTTTTTCTCTTCATAAAAATTATGAAACAGAAAATTTTATTAATTATTGTTTATTATTAATATCATTATTTTATGTTTTATGGATCATTCGAGAAATTAATAATTAAGAATATCTTTGAATTTCTAATTTGTGCTTTCAGATTCATATGTAAATAAAATAGGAGTGAAACCAAAACTAATTTTCTTTTCATGAAAAGAATGTTTTTATCTTCTTCAGAGACGCTGCATGCCGGAGGGTTACACATACCTTTGAATACTACTGAAAAATTCATAACCAACGCAACAGAACAAACCTCGACTAAGCTGGTTAAGCGAGAAATTCCCCCCTCCGTTAAAAACGTTTATCATCCCTATTTCCCCCTGATCCTCTCTGCCGCAGTAGGGGGCTTACTCGTGTTGCTCGTCTTTGTCATTTTTCTTTCAGCGAAAATGAGATTCCATAAATCTAAATCAGGGTATGCCTTTTTTTCTGATTCATGAATTTAATTTGAAATGAAAATAATTTTCATTTAAAAAGTTAAAACTCACTGCTTTATGTTAATTTTTTATTTACGTTTCCCCCCCCCCCCCAAAAAAAAAAGAACCAAAAAAAAAAGAACAAACAAAAAGAAAAAAAAACATTAGGCAAATGAACTTTGTGCAACTTTTTGACAAATATGAAAATAAATTTCATTAAAAAAAATGAAAAACTCGCTGCTTTATGTCAATTTTTTAAATTCACTTATAATAAAAAGAATTATAAGGCAAATGAACTTTGTGCAACTTTTTATTACACAGATTCAGTATGCCAAAAAATGTCCAATTCGATGTAATTTTCAACAATTACAATCCACTTGCAACACCCCACGAAGATACAGAGCGAGAAACCAGTCAGACTAGCAGGAAATCTCCAATTACCTTGAGAGGAGTCAATAATCAGACCCAAAGGGCACCTGCCACAGAACCTTTGAATCAGGAACAAACACTTCATCGTCAAAATAGATCAACTCCTCTAGCACATGATTTGAACATCAAATTGAATATTCCATCATCTGACCAACTAGACACAGAAGAGGAATCAATTTACGTGAATGAACTGGAAGGTATTTACGTGAATACCGACGAAAAAGTGTCCTTGAATGATGATGATGAAGCAACGTACATGAATGTAAATGAGGGTTATCTCGATTTAAATGACATTGTCCCTCCTCCGTGTAGAGGTGCCTCACCCTCCTTACCGATTCTGTCTTTGCTTTCTCAGAAGACAGGACAAAAGAGAGGCCAGAATAAGGACGACCACTCTACACTACATTCATATATTCAACTTATTTAAAAACAAACTTTCAAAAATGAAAAAGATTACTGATATAAATTTAATTTTACTTTTCATACTTGTGAATTTGATTTGTTTTCTTCCAATAAGTGCAGTTGTTCTTGTTAATGTTAGTAACGGGGACATTATCCTATGTAAAATACATATAAGAGGTAAAATTTGAGGAACGAAAAATAATTGTATCAGGGAGTATACGTGAAATATTTATAGGTTAGATTTGATCTGTACATATGCATATCATGTTTGAAGTACACTTTTTCAGTTTTGTTTCAGAAGTAGTATATACTATGAATAACTTTGATTTTGTTCCACGCTGAAATGAGTTCGTTATAGTTCACACTTGCTCCACTTAAGACAGTCTACATATTTTGTACTTTAATTTTGTGAAATTGGAGTAAATATTTAATGATAGAAAGGATTTAGCTTTAACTCAATGGTAAAAGTATTTGCAAAAGTGGCATACATGTACATATACATGTACATCAGATAAAAGTGATGTGAGAGAGGTAAACAAGACCCAAATAAACCAAAAAAATGATCATCATATGACTGTTACGTCACAATTATATAGAACTGTTTTGATTCGTAAATTCGATGCTGATAGGAACTTAAGCTAATTTCAATAATCTATTTGCTCTTGAAATGACGTGAATAACTCACAATAATTCACGACGTGTAAGTTGCAAATATTCTTGTTAATATAAAAAACAAGAGGCCCATGGGCCACATCGCTCACCTGAGCACTGTGGCTAGGGAAAGTAGAAATTGGTTTATTATTGAAAATTTTAAATCCCAAAGTAGTCCCATGACCAATCATAGCTTTGTTATTCTTGAGTAGAAGATTTTTAATGAATTTCCCTATATATTTCTATATAAAACTTTGGTTGGCCATTTTGGCCCCGCCCTACCCCCGGGGGTCATGATTTGAACAAATTTGAATCTACATTACCTGAGGATGCTTCCATATAAATATGATCAATTATGGATTTGCTATTCTTGAGAAGAAGATTTTTAAAGAATTTTTCTATATATTTCTATATAAAACTTTGGTTGGCCATTTTGGCCCCGCCCTACCCCTAGGGGTCATGATTTAAACAACTTGAATCTACACTACCTGAGGAGGCTTCCATATAAATATGATCAATTATGGCTTGTTGTTCTTGAGAAGAAGATTTTCAAAGAATTTTCCTTTCACGTTGCGCACGGTGTTGGTGTCAGTTTAGGTAACGTCAAAATGACGTTATTTTACGTGAAGTTCTTGAAAATTATTTTGACGTTGCTTTTTTCGCTAACATTTTTTTACGAAGAAAAAATAAAAACCCAGTAATACCACCAATTACTTGTATATAGTGCAATTCATTGAAAACACATGTAATTAAACTCTCATAAGTAGTTCAATGTTGATATATAATACAGCAAATAAATTATTCTGTTATGTTATCTTTTCAATATTTGTTGGATGGGTCTCGATTAAAGGTAGAATAGTTTTCATGATTTTATAAACTTGGCTTTATTTAATATTTATGAGTTAATCTTAATTGATCCCGGGATTAAACTGAAATTCTCTTCTGGTCGGGTATCATCATGGTCTGTCTGACAAAGTATCAACTGTATTTGACTAATGTTTCTCCTCATATAGTCTATACAAAAAATGATTAAAATGTGTCTGTTTCAATCTGCGAGAAAATAGCTCTTAGTTTCAGAAAAATCCAAAAGGGAAATGTATACGTGGCCGTACGTTGATGCAGATATTTTAGGTCTAAACTCTCCCTGCCCTTTTGCATGCATGTTGCGGGTGGAAAATATAAGCATGATTTGTCTCATTTAAAAAAAACTGTGTAGAAATAACATAACTTGTTCGGCATCGCATTTTAAATTGATGTGCTTTCAATTCAATTGAGATAAATTCGAAACCATTCTATATCATATCAGTAGGCCCTCGAACCTGTCCTTTGTTTTCAGTAAGTTGTACGATTGTAACTATGTTGCTGATTTAGCACTGAATTATTTTTTTCGTTCAAAGTACCTATTGCCATCCCATCTTTAGCCATCACATAGACCCTTACATACTGAGTACTTTTCTCTTACAGTAGATCTTAATATTTCAAATAATTCAATTTAAAAAAGAAGAGGAATTGAACTTGAGAATCGACCCCTCCCTCTCCCTCACTTTTAGTTCTCAATGAAAAGAATTTTCAATGAAGTGGAGTTTAATTTGAGGGCTCAGTTGTATTTATTCGAAAAATATTTCAGTTTTCTCCTCTCCATCCCCCCGTTCATAAGTACCTAGCTCACATATCAATGATCGAAGGTTTCCTACTTCTTTGGATACCCATGCAGTTTACCTGTTTTATGGGATTGTTTGCCCTTTCCATGCTTATGAATGGAAAGAAAGAGTGTTTCAAAGAGCGTTTCGCATATGCTTTCATCAGGATTTATTTTTAAATAATTAATTGAGGTTGATGTTGAGGACTTTTGGTGACGGCGGGGTCAGATTTTAATTAGATTGAGGCGAATGTATAGAGGCGTTATCCTATCCCTAAACTAGATTTTGTTCAAATAAATAGTTACTTGGTACTATTTTGGTCGGTTTAAATGAGTTTAAAGGCTTTTTTATAATAAGAAGAAAAAATGAAACATCACTAAATAAATTATGAAAAATGAAAGACCCATTGCTTAAATGAAAAACAGATATTTTTAATTGAAAGAAATAAGGTAATATAGCCGATCTCGCCTTACTCTGTTTCCAAATGTCGGCAATTCATATGTAAATTTATATACCTATTTTTTGTTTAAAACAAAATAAAATAATTTTTTTTCATTTCGTACGATGCTATTGAGTAGATGACAAAAAGAACTAATTGTAGTGAAAATCTGATACTTGATCTAAATTACAACCTCCGACAACCCCTAACCCTTATTCAATATTGGACTATTCAATAAACACTCGCCATGTACAACAGTTTATTACAGCATCAAATAGAGTTGACACACTTTAATGTCAGGTTATTCAAATTGGAAATCATATCCTTACATTAATTTTGGTTTGTGTGATTTTTTTTCTCGTGTCTTAATTCGGACTCTGAATGGTACAAGGATATATAGTTATATACTTATACAGTGTACTACAGTATACAATACACATGTTTTACTTTTATATATATAAATACAACTTTCAAAACCTAAAGTTATTGTTAAAATCAAGCATTATGGGTACATTTTTCTTTTATCCATATAAGGCTCATCAGCAATAAGAGTAAGTTTATTTGGGAAAATTATCTTTTGACGCTTTAGGTTACGTAATGCATTTTTAAAACCTAATAACGTCAAAACGCCAAATTTTTACGTGTGTGACATTTATGTTGACATTTATATTTTGTTAGGATTTTGTCACAATTCCATTGAAAATTATTTTGAAATATACAAATAACTTTTTGAAAAGATGCACATTTCATAAAAATCTTCTAATTTTCAATATGTCTATTTTCAATGACTATACATATGGTTTATATTACCACATTTATACAATTATAGTTAGATTTATTACTTTTGGACAATGTGTGACAATTATGTTGACATTGTAAAGAGCATATAAAACAAACACTGCTTTATAGATTCAATTCAGTTTCAGATCTAAATAAAGTTTTGATTTTGCACATTTTGTATTAAATGTCGTTTGGTGCCAAATTAGAAAAAAAGAATTCTTAAAATGAAGGTAATTTGCCGTCAAATTCAATTGTGACATATACCAACATGTAGTGCATATACGTGAAACAGCAATTATTATTAAAATTTAGAGACACCACAAGTTAAATTTCTGTCTAGAGATCTTTCCCTCAATAACATGGCAACATTTTGTAGAATTTAAAATAATTTTCAACATAAATTTTTCACCCATCATTACAAAATTTACCATTTTATGAATCTTAAAAACTTTGTGACAATGAAACTCCAAACTTTGTGACACACCATATATTATTCAACATCCTCACAATAAATCGGCTTAATATCAGAAATCCAACATACATATCAACCAAAAATACCAGTCTTTTATAAAAAATAGTTCTTAACACACAAAAAGGATCACCGAGATATAATTTAAAAATAGATTTAGCTCATGTATTTATTATTCTAAGTAACCAAAGACTTTTTATGTGTATCCCATATTTCGTCGATTAACGCGCGTCTACACCTCTGTCTTGGATTTTGACGCCGCGTTCAGAGCATACGGATTGAATGACATTACAATCTTAAGAATTTACATCATTTGCATCATATTTTGAATTTTTCTGCCAAATTTTATCTTTGTATTGTTTGTTTTAAGGAAGTTATCAACATTTTGTAATTAAGTGTGCGACGCCCCTGTTACCGGTCTACATGCGTTTTTCACGTAATTGACGGAAAAGTCAAATTAATGTCTTTGACAAATGGAATTTTTTTTATCAATATTTTTGTTAAAATGTATTAAGTATACAATTACCGAATGAATGATATATAGTTTTCATATAGTGAATTGTTTTAAAATTATGAAAATAGCGCAAATGCCGCCGCAATAGTAATTTTTAACTTTTTGACACCAACACCGTGCGCAACTTTTTTATATTTCTATGTAAAACTTTGATCGGCCATTTTGGCCCCGCCCTACCCCAGGGGGTCATGATTTTAACAAATTTGAATCTACACTACCTGAGGATGCTTCCATATAAATATGATCAATTATTGCCTTGTTGTTCTTGAGAAGAAGTTTTCAAAGAATTTTCCTACATATTTCTATGTAAAACTTTGGTCGGCCATTGTGGCCCCGCCCTACCCCCGGGGGGTCATGATTTGAACAAACTTAACTCTACATTACCTAAGGATGTTTTCCCATAAGTTTCATCTTTCCTGGCACACTGGTTCTTTGAGAAGAAGATTTTTAAAACATGCCACCAAATTTTCATTAAATCCCAATTATCTCCCCTTGAATGAGGGCGTGGCCCTTCATTTGAACAAACTTGAATCCCATTCACCCAAGGATGCTTTGAGGCAAGTTTGGTTGAAATTGGCCCAGCGGTTCTTGAGAAGAAGTCGAAAATGTGAAAAGTTAACAGACAGACAGACGGACAGACAGACAGACAGACGCCGGACAAAATCGATCAGAAAAGCTCACTTGAGCCTTGGGCTCAGGTGAGCTAAAAAGATATAATCATGTTCGCATAATTTATTCCATAACATGCAACGATAGTTTTAAATATTTGTTCTTAAATCTGTTCAACTACACAGTAAGGAACCCTGAAATAATAAAAAATTAAATTCGCATTTCTACGGTAGAGAAGGGGTTAAGCTAGTGTTTCTACCTTCAACTGACGAGGGTCTTTAAGCCAAAAATAGGCCCTAAGGATATCTTGAAATTGTCAAGTTTTGGTAAACCTCTCCCGACCGACAGACTAAAAATACGCAAAACCTTTTTTTTACATTCCAGAACACGATATTTTTTTTTTACTCTTATCCTGTCAACAAATTTTCTTGAAAAAATTTTTTCCCACCGACCCAGTAATTCCAACCCAAGCTGGGAGGAGCACGCAAACATTATTTTATTATTAAAGTTAATTTTATTAAAATA